GCACCTACGGTTCCTACATTAGCACCCATACCTAAAGCGCCACTCTACGACGATCCTTCGGATTCTGACGATGGTGAAGGTGAATGGATTACGCCTGACAATGTTGCGCTGCACAAATCGCGAGCACTGGATCTATTACCTAGTGGAGGTCAGGGAAAGCAAGGAAAAGGTAAGAAGAAAAAGGAAGAGTATGTGGATGTCGGATGCATGACGGCTGATTTTGCCATGCAAAACGTGCTGTTGCAAATGGGGCTCAATTTGGTTGGTACGGAAGGGAAGAGGATTCAGAAAGTGAAAACTTGGGTTCTCAGATGTCATGCGTGCTTCAAGTGTGTATCCGATTGCGAGACGAGGGATGAATACTGATTTCACTTATTCCAGAATCTGCCAGGATGCATCAAAACAATTCTGCCCCTCATGCGGAAATCCAACACTCATTCGTGCATCAGTAACGATTTCTTCGCCAGATGCTTCTTCCGACACACCAGCCATGCAGGTCCATCTCAAACCTAATTTCCAGTACAAGTTACGCGGTTCAAAATACTCAATACCCGCACCGAAACCTGGTTCGGCAAAACATGGTTCTGGAGAAGGACTTATACTGAGGGAGGATCAGTTGGAGTATGTGAGAGCCAAAAAGCGTTTGGAAGGAAAGCAGGAGCGGGAGGAGGCGCGAATGATGAAGGGTCTACTCGAAAGGAGTGCCAAAGGTGAAGGAGGCGTTGCTGTGGGCAGTTGGATGGATCCAGATTGGGTGCCAGAAATAATCGCTGCCAGTGCAGGTGGAAAAGGACGGTCGAGTAGATCGAATGGCGATCTGCCCGTTATCGGGTACGGTCGTAAAAATCCCAATGAGAGAAGGAGGCACAAAAAGTAGATATCATGTTTTCTTCTGGTTCCTCATTTGTTGTACAACGTACACGTCGCGATCTGTATCTATCATGCACCTAGACTTCTGTTCATGAATCGTCTCTTTTGGAAGGACATCCACCATTTGCTGGGAACATCACCATCGGCGTAGAGGATATTCACCAAGCGCAGCGATAACTCTTGCCGTACCTGGGTGAGGTACGAGCGAAGGAATTCTAATGAAACAGATGCTGAGGGTTGTGACGCGTATTCCACAGTAATATACCACGCACCAGAATCCGCACGACTAGCAGGCGGAGCATAATGCGCATTCAATGCAAAGTTGGCATCTCCTGGTATCGGGAAATTATCCACAGACAAAGTGTTCAACGATTTCGTTGCCTCGATCTTGTTCGGCGTTGAGCGAGCGCTGCCGATCTTGGCCAGACAGTCGGATATGAAGACGATGAGAACGATGAGAGTACGGTCTGCGGGACCTTTGATTTCAAAGTTGCGGAAGAGAGAATTGGCGCGGAACAAGTCGAGAGTTTCATCGATGATATCTGGCTGAGAAGGATCCGCTGGGTTGTATGGTCAATGAGTGAGGATAAGAATGAAAGAAAGGTGTTGAACACGCACCAAGAGGTGCAACCCCGCGATATCTTGTCTTTATAGGGAGAATCGACATGTTTCCGATCTGGCGAACATCAGGCTCTTCGTTGAGAGACGAATGGTATGCCTGCAAAAGAGAAAATGAGTGGAAAGAAATAAAATGGATAAATGGTGAATTTACTGGCATGATGGGCGGATGAAGAAGAGTGATTTGATGGCTGGTGCTTGAAGTTGTTACCGAACATTCATGACGTCGGGATTTCAAGACTTGTCCTTGTACCTTCACCATGTCCGATGGCTTTTCAGCGGAATTTGGAGGCAGTGGTCCCATTCTACCTCCAGCCAAGACCGCTAAACCGTCTCCAGAGACTTTGACGAGTGAGCTTTATACAATTGTAGTCTATGAACGGCACTAATTCATGATTAGAGCTCGTTAAACGCCTTCGCGCACTCACTCTCGAACTTCTCCCAGTCGAAGTCGACCCTCAAGCAATAAATGAACCTACGAGTCGAATTATAACCCCTCAAGTTATTTCTGCATACCGTGCCGCTGCTGGAGATTTTGACGAAGCTGTGAGTAAGTTGTGTATGACATGCGGCTCGTCTCCTCAATTCCTTTCTCAGCTACCTTATTGTCTCCTACGTGCTCGTGCGGAATTCATGTGGGATGCTGACCACAATGCTGCTGATTATGACGAAAACTTTGGTCGAGGTAGGTTTTCAACCACCTCAACGTTCCTATCCTCCTCCTAATGATGCATCATGGTTACCTCTTCATGAAGCTATCGCATGTGAGGTGCTTGCACGTCGTATCGTTCATTTGAGTGCCCCGGACCGTTTGGCTGCCGTCATGGCTACGAGATATACGCACATCCAGATAGACGGTGATGAAAGCGATCCTGCAAGTGCACTCGAGATGGCCATTGATTCACATAGGTATGGTAGATGTTTTATTCCTGTCTGTAAGCGTTCGATTGACAGACTTTTCTTTCTGTACTGTAGCACGATCTTCTTGTCCTCGAGCGAATCTCAAGATGGTAAGCATATTCCTTGTTCTGTACCAAGAGGTCCTTCATACAAAGTTATCCAGTTGTCAATTCATTGTGGAAGGGCGAATTGATTCAGAAGATGAGTGAGAAGTTTGACGTTGAGTGTGAGTTCTCGGCATATACAATGTCCTCTGAAGCGTTACGACTAACTAACTTTGCGGCTTGTCACAGATGTTTCCTATGCAGAATCACAAACTGGAAGCTTTTGGAGTCATGTCAATCCCTCACGTCTGTGTGTGCCGCGGTACCAGAACTTCTTCCGAATCGTGGTCTGGTTGTTCTTCCTCATTGTCTATTCACAAGCTGGTTTGATACTTTCTGCAATCCATTACATAGACCTTGAGCTCACTTTCTGCTTCTTCATAGTGCGGCAGCCCGTCGAACGTTTGGCGGACCCGTCATATACGAATACGATGGATGCTTGGGAAGTTATTCTATATGTTATCGCACTTTCGACACTTGTTGAAGGTGAACATCCATCATTCAACCTTGAGGTAGCCTCTCGGGATTCATGTCGTGTTGTTCATTTTTCTCGTTTCCTTAGACATGAACAGAGTCAGTGAAATTTAACCATGTTGGTTGAACGGAATAACTAACATGCTTCACACAGTTATTCAAGCTCCTTCGGTTCGTCACTTGGCGTGCCTTCTCCTTCTGGAACGTCGTCGCATTTGTGACAAACTCGTTGCTGCTGACCGCGTTCATCCTCCGCATGGTCGGATTGCATGATAACACTGATTCGTCCGCTACATTGCGTCTACATAGTTTCCAAGTGCTAAGTTTTGTTGCACCGTTTATCTGGTAAGTGCTCCGGCACCTTTCAGTCCAATAATACGGTCATGCTGATGGTCTTGTCTTTGGGCGTTTATTTCAGGATGAGTATGTATCGTGCATCGTCCACTGTTTCCAGGAAAGCTAATCCTCTTCGCTGTCAGAGCTCATCACGGTGTTCGACGGATACAAATACGTCGGAATGATGCAAATATGCGTTGCTCGTATGTTACAAGAATCCGGAATATTCTTCGCTGTGCGCACATACCCTTTCTCATTGTGGTTGACATGACCGTTGGCTCACTCAAGATGACAGTTACTGTCGATCTTGGCGCTGGGATTCGCGCAGGCAATGTACGCCTTGGATGCTGCAGATGGAACCACTGAAGCTCCTACAGGAGTGAGTTCATTGACATGTTGTCCAAGGTATCAATGATCTAAGCAGAACTGTCGTTCAGGTGGTCAACGCATTAGTGCAAGCGCTACTCCAGTGAACCCTCCGTTTCTGGATACTGGTCATTCTCTGATTTGCGTTTCAGGTCACCCGACTTTTCGCGGTATGCATCAAGGTAAGCTACATTGTCCTTTTTGTGGCCGCCGCTCACAGTGCAATTTTCCGTAGTCCATCAGGCTTGATCATGTATTATCTGTAAGTCCCTTACCTTGCCATGTCGTGTTTCAGTTCTATATGTCGCTCACAACCTGAAGCTGGAACGTGGTGACGGTCATCGTTCTCCTCAACGTGCTCATCTCGCTGTTTGCGTCTGCATATCAAGATGTTGGTACTAATCTTGGTTGTACTGTTCAATTTCCTGAATGTGTCGTTTGTTTAGGTCGTGGATGATGCAGAGGCGCAATATCTTGCTTTTTTCGCAGGAAAGACTGTAGGCATGATTCGTGCGCCGGACTCGTACGTATATCCTGCACCGTTCAATCTGATCGAAACATTCCTTGTTTCGCCGTTCGAGTGAGTGTTTTTACTTGTATTTAACTCAGGGGACGAGCTTATAAATCCTCTCACGTAGGTATTGGTATAGTGAAAAACAATATGCAAAGGTAAGCTCATTCTTCTTGGTTCCATTTCATCATTACCCTCCTAACGAGAACTAACACCTCATTCTTATTTAGTTGAATCGCATCATCATGTCCGTCCTCTTCTTCATCCCACTCACCATGATAGCCTTCTACGAAACCGTATTTACCCGACAAGAAAACGAGTGGATCACGAACTGGTTACATGGAAACAACGAAGGCGATAGCACATACCCACAAACAAGGGATCCCGAAGTCGATGGGCCCGATGCGGATGCTGGTTTGAGAATAAGCAAGGTGCCGTTCATGGAGTTGATCAAGGTGTTTCCGAACACGGCTCAGTCGAGTGAGGCGTTGATGTTGGAGGAAATCAGGGGGCTGAGGAAGCAGTTGGATATGGTGATGAGGAGGGTTGAGATGAATGGTACTGGAAAGGAGGTGGAAGAGTGAGTAGAGTGTTGGGGCAATCTGTTAACTATAGTACGATTGTGCTAGTTTTTGTGGGGTGAAATCGCGATTGACGGAGGAATATACATATAGATTTCTTTTAGTCGACTACACATAGATATGTGGTTTCTCATCAATCTTCGCGGAAGTGAATAATTGAGAATAATGACGAAAAGAGACAGGATATCTGGCACATATGCATTTCCCAAGGGAAAAAAACCAAGAGAATTTGAATGTGTACTCCCTGGCTGGGAGTCGAACCCAGCTTTCGCGCGGACGCGGAGTGTTATACGCGTATGACAGGCGCGTGTACTAACCGATATACTACCAGGGAATGATTACGATTACTAAAATACTACTCATATCCATCGAATCAGCCTTATCAACCAAGAGTATGTTTATTTACTTTTCTTCCAACCTCTTCCAGCGCTGGCAAAGATGTCGTTACCCTATTCTTTGCGAACCTCTATAACACCTCCGGAACTCGAGCTCATTGCCACACAGCAACTCATTGAGATTGTACCCCTCATCGCCATAGAAAAAACGGCCTTCATATCTGTCCGTAGTTTCCTCGCGCTTTCACTAGCGAATCAGCCCTCCTTACACTTGGATTGATGGATCTGGTACGCTTAGGGTGCCTTTGGCCCTCTGCAACCTCCCAGGAAAGCAAAGATTCCACTGTGGATGGCGATCAATCTGAAGCTGAGAAAGAAATGCCATATCGTTGCCCCGGAATGGCTTAGTGTTGGTACGCGTTTTCTAACCTCTCAACGCGACAGCAGGATTTAGATACATTCTCCGTAGAATTCTTACAATCCCGACTCGACGAAGAGATAAACGAACCAGGATTCAGCAAGCTTCCGTTCCGATATGCGGAAATTTCGAAAGTGTTGTTGGATGTGTAAATCGTCTTGTCGACTCTTGCAGGTGTTGTCGATTGAACTTGTTGGTTCACAGCGCGTCAGACGACATTCAGAACACGGACAAGATACGATCGCTATTGAAGGACCTGAGGGAAGCGCGTCAAGCAAAGAGTCGTGAGGGTTTGGATCAGATAAATCGGGGTGAACTGAGCGTGCGTAGTGATTTTTGCCCTTGGATTGAACCTCGGCTGACCTCGAGGAAATCAGGTGTCGAACCTGTGCTCAATGGAGATCAACGAGATTCGACCGTTCTTTGTACATGCCATGGGAATCCTCACGCATCTTCATCGCGAAGCGTCTACAGAAGACCAACTCTAATTTGTATAACATCGTTCAATTCTTTAATGACAAAATTCAGCTTCAACCCTCAACTTCAATCTCCTATGCCCAAAGACTCCAAGGACAAACTTGAGGGTCTGTTTCTTCTCTGCTGATATTACTTTTCCCAAGTTTTTAGGATGATGACGTCTTTCATGACTGTTCGTCTCAGCCTGCTCTTACTCACATAAAAGACCAACATCCAACTGGCATCGACCCCACCTCAAAATGAAGCTTTCTGGATCCTGCTACTGCCGTGCTCTGGAGTACGAGCTGAAGTTAGAATCCCCCGACGAAGCGCGTACCTCTCTGTGTCATTGCTCGAGCTGCAAAGTATGTTTATATCATCCCATGTCTGATTTGTCTTTTTACAACTCACTCTCTCGATAGAAAGCCTTTGGAACTAATTATGGTTTGACCGCAAAAGTTCCGTTGACTTCTTTCAATTACACCTCCGGTCACCCCAAGGAATTCGTAGGAGACAACGGCTCTGGAACAATCCTCCACCGTGAGTTCTGTGATAAATGTGGAAGCTTCATTCTTGAGTATGGAGTGAGTATTCATTCGATGCGTTCCGAATGAAAGCTCGGAGGTTACGTTCATGATGATCAGGATCCAGTGAAGAACGAGTTCCGTTTCATCTGTGTCGGCAGCTTGGACGAACCAGACGCGTTACCTCCCAAGGGTAAATTCTTCTGTGAGAATCGCTCGGAATGGATGCCTAAGATCCCAGGTATGATGCTCATTTTTATAAGAGAAAGAATAATACCCACTCAAGAGTTCAAGCAGGCATTTTTCACAAGATGAAGATCAAGGAGTAACAGAGTTAATTCGTATGCTAACTTCAATATACAGTCTTCCCGAGGGCTGTGGTACAATCACTGAGGGTTCGACTGCATATATGCTGACCCCGCCTTTCCACTTTTACCAGCGAAGAAACTGGATCTGGTTGATCCACCGTGAATGTCGTCACAGTAGATACATATCACCTGGAGACAGTGAGGATTCTGAGGAATGGGGCACGAATGGAAAACACTGAGAGCAAGGAAAAGGTGTATGATGTATTACGAGCAGTGAGCACTATACAATCTTGCCTTCAAGACTCTCGGCCGTCCACTCACAGCCTATCGCAGCATCCTACAGCGCACTGAACAGAGACTTGTGCCCATTGGACCTGAGCGCTATGATTTGAACCCGAGACTGAGGTCCAACCTGAATCGACAGCCATATCATGGGCGCTCTAAGTATTACTCTGAAATTTCTAGCAGGCGATTTTCTCGTCCTCGCTCAGGGCGCTTTCGAAAGCTCGGATATCTTCAAATCTACCTGGTAAGCCTGGTAGGCTGCAGCAGGCCGTAGCCTGTCGATTTTATGCTGCGGTTGGGCGATGGGGAGGTTTGGCGGCTGTTGGTGGCTTGTTCAAGTTGTCGGGGGTGCCCACTGGCAAGCAAAGCATCGATGATCATATCAACTGCCGACGGTTGTTGATCCTCATCTCGATACATATCCGTCGTATATAGCGCATCAGGGTCTAGTCACAGCCTCAGCGTTTAGCCCTCAGTGTTCCCGAGTCAGGAAGCAGTGCAATCAGCACTGAATTTTTTTCCCCTCTCTTTGTCTCCAGCTTTCTCTTGACCTTCGATCACCTTCCTCTGTTGGTCAGCGAAACCAAAATTGCTTCCCTTCCTCAACGACTCCCTCTCACACGCAACATGAAGATGCTAGCTCGCCAGATCATACTGCTGCTCTTCGGTTGTCTAGCTTTTTTTGCTCCGCAAGCTCAACCAATTGGACAGTCTCAAACAGCTGGACAGCCCGCATTGAAACCGCAGGAAGATCGCTGGACACGTTCCGGGATTTGGGTCTATTGGTTGTTCATCCAAATTCGTGAAAACTATGCACGGCACGAGGTTGGTCTTCAACTGTTCCATCGGCTTTATGTGACCTTCACTGGATGCTAAATGATTGAATGATTTTGTAGAGCTGGATGAAGCGTGACCTCGACACTTGCCCTGGTATAAACAAAAACGATGATTATTTTGGTTAGTGATCTGAATGGTTTCCTAGTAAGTTCGTTTGGTTAACGGTACCAACAACAGTCAAGAAGGGTGATAAGGAGCTATCACACCTGCCTCTTGTCGAGTGGAAGACGAGTTATCACAGTGAAGGCATATACAACATCACGTCGGAGACATTCAGCTTGACAGGCGACAAAAACATGCACAAGAGCTCCGATTATATCGTCAAACTGGTCGACGTATCCCCCCCGGATGGACATTTCTCCTCTTGCGAACCACATGCCCTCCAACAGCTGGGAATCTGGCATCGTACAGGGATCCGGGAAAGCAAATACGGTGAACTATTGGGTGCGATCCTCATGAAACGGGAGCGCGGGGAAATGATAGAGGATAATGAATTGTGGCAGAAAGCAAGTCAAAAAGAACAAAAGGCAGTTCTGGACTCAATCAAGGAGAAGGCAAGGGGAAAGCATCATAAACTTGCGTTCGAGACTAGGACCAACGTCGATCATATCCTTCCATCGTGAGCAATCTTCCTTTTGGAAGTAAACTACTATGCGTGCTCATACGTTTTATCATACAATCCAGTGATTTCCAGAAAGCCAACTTCCTTGTTCATATCGTGCAGGGACATGAAGGTATTGAACTGGAGGATGTAGCTTTGATCGACTTGGGCTACCCAGGAAACACGGCAAAGTGGTTAAAGCATAAAGGGATTGATGACCCCGAATATGTAGGTGTCTCCCAAATGCTCATCGGGGTCATACAGTTGACCGTCTTATGTTAGATTGCCTGGTTCAACCGATTGTTCGATTTGTTTTGGGCAGGATACTACAAGACTGCGGGTGATGCTAGGATCTACGAAGAGTATCAAGCTTGGCGGAAGCACCAAAAAACCCGAGCACTGAACGCTCTGCTGTTGCCATTGAGGAAGGCACCGTTAAAATGGTTCCTTCCAAAGTATAATTACGATGCATCTGATCCCTCCGCTGGGCCATTTCTCGATGATTGATGATTGCTCCACCGTTCACTGTAGGAATATGATGGAGCCCTACCGTTATCCGATCCAGCAGAACGATCCCAGCCTCTCCTAGCCTTGCGCTACTTCCCTCATTCCTTCCTTTCGATATCTTCCAAAGACTCACTGCCAGTAACTGTCTCATAATTACCGTGTTTGATTTGACCCTTCAGGCGTCCAATCAACATCCTCCTTGTAGAAATCGTTCATGGACGTACATCTTGTACAATCCTTTCGTTTTTGTTATGTCGTTGAATCTATAGATTCACATATCATTTGCCTTCTTCTTCATTTTTTTCCTTACATGCAAGCGTTCAACCCCCAAGTTAAAGTTGTACGTTGTTCGATGCACTTATTGCTACTCATCGATTGATTCACACCAGTATCTCAGCCTGCACTATATATTATTTATTCACTGGGAGGTAGTTCAACCGTTACCTGTATTTGTCTGTTTATATCTTATTCGTTCAGCTGCCGCGTCCGACGATATTGGCGAACTCACTGAAACCATCACCCTCATCGACGATGACACTGTACTCGACGAGCGCTTAGTACTTAATATCATGAGCGTCAAATGGAAATTTAAATTTTGATCTATCCTCCATCGTTCATCGACATCATTGGAATCTATTTGAACGAACAGCGTCTTTACAGCATATTCATGCCCCTTCGATGACACAAAGTGACGAATCAGGATAGCAGCTCGCTGGCGTCGCCAAGCTTACTCAAAACGAGATACGCCTTCCCGGGTATACGATGAACTCTAACAGTCACGATGAACTTAGGTTCCATTCTTATGATCAGCCTGTAACTGTTTTAGTGGATTTCGCATGTGCTATCGCCCCCGTCGTGGAAAGAGTTTCGGATGGCCGCCAAAGGCTAAAGCAGTTTTCATTCAATCCTATCGCGGCAGGAGTCTTCATCACCATCCTTCACCACAAGCTCACAGTTCACGCAGTTTCGGGATTCAGCAATAGCGAGTTCATCAGAAAGGAGAGCCGTTGCTAAGGCTTCCTATATAGACATTTTTCCGAAACCGTAGTCCGGGTCGCCAGGA